TATGTCCATACCGTGTAGAGGTCAAGCATAGGAGTTTATTACACATAGTGCTGGCGGAGTGTCACCTTGCTTATTAGGCTCAGAGACCCTGTCAATCAATTGATTACAATAGAATATATGGATTTTCCATGGGCGGGGGAAAGTGATGGGGTAGGCAGTTCCATGCCCTGAGATAGGTCTAGCCGCAAGACAAGATAGCACATTAGCCATTGGTTAACAGGTTTCATAATGTCTCCGCCCATGGTCCAAAGTTAGCAAGTTAACATTTAATTAATACTTTGATAAAATGTTATTAGTATAAAATATATATGTTGAATTCTGATTTGGGGTCCATAGAGTAGCTCCTCTGATTGTCCAGCAGATGCATTCCTAGGGGTTAAAACAAAGAAACAGTGAAAGTATATGGCAGTAAAGATTGTGTCCTTTGTGTTTTAAGGCAGGCATTGGTCCCTGGGAAAGGGAGGTGGGAGGATGCCATATTTTTTACTGCCATATTTTATACTTTATTAAACTCAAGGTTGGATCGTGGGAAGAACGTCTCCCTACAGAAGAAACTAACAATCGAAACAGGGCTTCTTTGTTCAATCTGCAACTCTGAATAAGACACAGTTATTTAGTTCTCAGCTCCGACACCTTACAATTTGCTGGCTAGGCTTATTTTAGCAAAACAAAGATTATCGGTTTATCCCAGCTTTCTCTTAGCTGATCACTATTTGCTAGGCCTCTGGTCTCTTGACCAAATTCTGGACTTTAGGTCTGGAAATGAGCTGGCACAATCCATATACCAGGTTGTTCTATAAAATGCATATGGATTTTTAACCCTTCATTAACGTGGTTAAATTAATCATGTTCATAGTATTGCCTGTTGATAGTGTAGGGAGCATCACAAATACTGCAATAAAGTGAAACACTTTGGTGTGGTAAATGTCTGTCTTTTTTGAAAAATTGTAGCTGCTTTATCCCTGATAACGAAATATAGAATTCATAAATTCTAGGACTGGAAGGGACCTCGAGAGGTCATTGAGTCCAGTCCCCTGTCCTCATGGCAGGACCAAATACTGTCTAGACCATCCCTGATAGACATTTATCTAACCTACTCTTAAATATCTCCAGAGATGGAGATTCCACAACCTCCCTAGGCAATTTATTCCAGTGTTTAACCACCCTGACAGTTAGGAACTCTTTTTTAATGTCCAACCTAAACCTCCCTTGCTGCAGTTTAAGCCCTTTGCTTCTTGTTCTATCCTTAGAGGCTAAATTGAACAAGTTTTCTCCCTCCTCCTTATGACACCCTTTTAGACACCTGAAAACTGCTATCATGTCCCCTCTCATGTCTTCTGTTTTCCAAACTAAACAAACCTAATTCTTTCAGCCTTCCTTCATAGGTCATGTTCTCAAGACCTTTAATCTTTCTTGTTGCTCTTCTCTGGACCCTCTCCAGTTTCTCCACATCTTTCTTGAAATGCAGTGCCCAGAACTGGACACAATACTCCAGTTGAGGCCTAACCAGCGCAGAGTAGAGCGGAAGAATGATTTCTTGTGTCTTGCTCACAACACACCTGTTAATGCATCCCAAAATCATGTTTGTCTTTTTTTTTGCAAC